CACGACCTCCTCTTCCGGAATTCCACGTCTGAGACGTCCTCAGCGCAGAATCTGCGCTCCAAGACTCTTCTGGACCAGATCTTCCAGACCGATGGGAATACCTTTCTGAGTTTCACAACTCATTCCGGAGAGGGGGCCAGTATCCTCGCTGTTCTGAATCACATCCCCTTTAGCCTCTCGACCGGTTCCGTGATTCCCGTCTTGGTGAAGGCGGAGACCATCTCTGGAACCGGCCCGACGACAGCGGTACTGCCGTATACGTCGCAGGTCGTTTGCAGCGGACCACCGCAGACGAGTTTGGGGACCGGAGGGTGTGTCTGTTCTCCAGGGCAGACAATCCCTACTGGGCTTGCTTAATTAATAAGGAAAGATGTATATAGTCCGAGATTCATAGAATCGCTCTAGAGTTTAAATCTAATCAAAAGCTTCGGCATATTGAGCATAACCTCATTCTCTGTCCATCTAACCCCGAGCCCAGCAACACGGGGAGGGACATAGGTGTGGAGAATCTGCAAAGTATCTTTTAGGCATCCAAACGGTTCATGTCATCAACTCAGCCTTACGTGTCTAGAACAGCCTTATCCAAGATATGTAAGCCACTCCCGCCTGTGCCTGATCATAATCAGGGCAAAATTTTTCAATCCAATCGTCACTTTTCGCCTGGTGGAGTCAGGGACTTAGCTGCCGGCCCCTCGACGTAGCCGTGGACTAGAGACACATATTGCGGGCCCTTACGAAGCCATATTTTCAGCCTCGTTGCAATCATAGATAGAGTTTTTATCTTCACATACTTCCTTATCTAACAAATGTCCATTCGGAGGCAGCCCGAAGCTTCCACTATCCCGTTTCCCTTCATGGTAGCAGGGATGGATTGCCCCGCTTCTGCGAACTCTCGCAAAATCATCGGCGAATAGATGTCGCGCGGCCGCCTAACCACCCACCAAGTAAGGCAACCAAGGCGTACCATCGCATTCAAAACACTCGTAAGCTTCTAGTATCTATATCTTCATTCTCCTATATCGTCGGAAATATTGGGCTTTCTTCTTCGCACGCTCGCTCTGTGATTTTTCTTTTCTCGAATTACCTTCCCTAGGAGCGTCGCCGAGCGGCCTCCCCCTCCCCGCATTGCACCTGAATCCCCCCCGGAAAGCAAGGCTTGGTGGGGATAGTTTGGGGACATTTTGCATACGCTTGATGGTAATTGATTCTGGATTTCCTTGCAGTCCTTATATGAGCGAAAGATGGCCCTCGCTGTCTTATCTATTTCCCTTAAGCCCGCAATACTCATTGTGGTTTATACTATAGTGGGCCAGCCTGGTAACAATCCAGTCACTTTGAATACCTTTACATATTTCGAATTACCTCTGCGGCTTCTGTCTCAGATCTGTGTAGGAATCGAGTACCGCACCATGCCTAAGCTTTGGAGAAGGCTAGGGCGTCAGAGGAATAGATCGCAGGGCAGCAAGCCGCAAGTCGTTACACCGCAGACCATGAAATCGCAGAGTATCAATCCGCAGAGCACTAAATTGCAGGCCATTACGCTGCAGAGAATTGAACAGCGAAGCTTTCCACAACATAGGACGAAATCGGAGAGCACTACACCGGAGAGCAGTAAACCCCCGAGCTTTATATCACATAGTGAGGAGGACGGAGAAATGGAGGGTTATGAGTCTATGCCTGAACGTTATTGGGCCTGCTGTGATTGTGCCGAAGGAGGGATGTCAACCTTCATTGAATGTTGCTCCGAATGTAAGCACTATCGGTGCGAGGATTGTCCCGTGGAGCTACTGAAGCACCGGATATCTGACAAGTCGTTGTCTGATGCATTTGCTCCTTTGGATGAGTACGCATGAGACCCTTTACGTCGAGAACAGTTTGTTTCTAACAAAACAAAGCTGTGGTTCATCCACAAGCCGTCCGTCTATAGACCTCAACCCGAAATTACAGATGGCTTTTGATAGACAGAGCCCGTGGTGGACCATGAAAGGTGAAGTTAACCAATATGGCGAATTCGTCAACTCCACTCCGTCATCAAAAGCCTTCCAAACAAGCCTGAATGGCAAATCTCTGCCGTTAAGGAATCGTCCTCCTGAGACAGGCATCTCAGCTGGAATTGATAAAGAGAAATATTCTTCTCATCAGGATAAATTCTGGAAATATCAGTTCTATCATGCCATAGATTCTTGCATATCAACTGTTTTAAGCCATCGCCGGTCACCCGCAGCACAAACCATTCCTTCAGTTCACAAAGTAGACTCTGTAAGGGATAACAATGATTCTGTCAAGAGTACACCTCCTCCTTCAGATGCGCCAGACGGAAATGAGGCTTCCAGAAGTTTCTCAGCAGAAGCTTCAAATCTTAGTTCCAGCACAGGAGCAGGAGGGGCAAAAAATTCACAAACCGGCAAGCGTGGCCCGAATTCGGACGGGCAGGAAGACTACGAGAAATCGGATCAAGTACGGAGGAAACGAAGACTACCATCCAACTCTACCGTCTCTTCGCCTACATTCGCCTGCCATTTCCATAAAAGGGATCCTCATAAATACTGCTCTTTTACCAATGAGAGATATCGAAACTGTATCCATCCAAGAATCCCTTCAATCCGTCGCATAAAGTATGGTTTGATACCTGTTAATAGTGGAATATATATACTGATACGTGAAAGGGACCACTTCAAAAACCATCGAATCGCGCAATGCGAAAGGTGTTATACTATATTTGACAGTAAGGCGGAGCTGGTGAGCCACCGAGGAGAAGAGCAGATGTGCAACAAGGGTGACCCAAGTCTCAAAGAGGGCATTAATGATGGCGAGTGGGAGAAGATTGAGCAACTTGTCAAAGCAAGAGCTCATCCCGGACGACAAGATTACGACAAATGGTATGATATCTGGGGAATTTTATTCCCAGAGACCCAGCCACCGTTAACTCCATGTAAAAGACATTCTATCCCCCTACAAAGTATAACTACTGATATTCGAAAGGGAACGGGCCGGAGAGGATATCTACCACCTCGCTTCGTAGTGCTGATGAAATCTTAGCTGATATCTCAGCAAGCGTAGCAGATGGAGTCCAACGTGGAGCTCTACCACCAGATGAAAGAGTTCATAGGGAATACATAGCAATCATACAGCGGGCACTAGGTGAGTCGCGTTATAATCAGCCTCGGGCCGACGCTGTGGTGGAACCAGAAGACTATTTTACTCGGCCCCTCTCCTATCCAGATGCACCTGAGGAAGAGGATACAAACATTGAACAACCGCAACTACATCTAGCAGGCTCAAATAGAACCACGGATCAAAACATCACATCACAGAGTGCAGCAAATCAAGACAACATTGAAGCCGCAGTCTCATCACATCAACGTTCGACACTACCAGCAACAAGCGCCGCGGAACCGTTCAAGAGATGGTCGACTGGATCTTATCCGTCGGATAATTCCATGTCCACTATTCAATCATCATTACAGAGCATGGCCGTACAAACACCTATAGACCCGCCCATGGATGCCTATCCCGAAGTAATAGAGATTCCAATCATGCAGGACGGCATGGGCTGGGATGAGATAAGAAATATTGATATTCTTGAAGACTTCCTGGACGACTCTTTCTTTGACCCTGTTCCGAAGGACAGTCAATATCAGTAGCCCATGCTTATCATATCAATATAAATGTCTAAAAGTCGAAGTTTGGCGTTTAGAAGAATTGTTTTAAAGGTGTTGCAGCAGAAGCTTAATCTCACGATGGCGAAGCGCTGGTGTTTCGGATATGGAAAAATAGCGTTTATTCTCTGTGTTTTGGTTTATGTATCTAAGAATTCTGCTCTTAAAGTTTTGTGGTTTCTTCTTTCTATTGTGAATATCAAATGATCTCAATAGTGCTGAGGCAGCATCTTGAGTGGCAATCCGTGATAGAATGCCTCTAAATAACTCGGAATATCTTCTGTTCGTGGGATGTTAGCCGAATTCTACTTGGTGTGACTTCTGAGCCGTAGTTGAGTCCATTTTCTAATATGCTCCAAGCCCGGTTCAATTTCAGGAGGTGCTGCAAGGTAGATAGTACGCCTCTGGGGTGTGACTTTATTCCTGTCCTTCTTCCTACTCCAAGATCTAACACTCTGAGGCGGATAAGTTGAATCAAGCGAGAGATCATCGCCTGGTAAAAAAGCGGCGCGAAAAACGTCAAAAAATATTCCTCCTCTAGGCTGGTAGATGCATTAGCTATGGAGCCTTTAAAACCTCCTCGCAGACCAGTGGCTGCTGTTCTCTGAGCCAAATTTGGGTATGTGTAGCCTGATATTGCAGCTTGAGATGAAGGACAAAGAGTAAGTGTAGCATGATGGCATGGAGAAAAGGTTTTAGGTGGCATCATAAAGTAGAATGATATTGTGTGTTCTTTGGGCCAAGGACATCGAACCCGATATTTATTCAATTTAGAAATAGAAATACGATGTCGGTTGACTCATAGGTTGTAGCTTTCGAAATTTGACATGTATCTTCGGAAAGCTCTGGATATTAAGTCTGCGGTCTGTGTAGGATGTCGGAATTGTGTTATGAAAGAAGATATACGGATACATATCGATCATTCATCATGGACGGTATCAAATCAAGTCATAACCATCCTGAGTATAACATCATCACATTAGCCGGTTTCCGTAGATAGTGATATCGCGGGATCTGTTAGCATAGTAGCGGCCCCTTGATCGCATTCGGTTATGCATTCGGAGGTGCTAAATATGTCATTAGAACGTTTGCAAAATTCTCACACATTTCCAAAAATTCTCAAGAGTGAGATACTTCATTATATTGGGTAGTTAGAATACCCTTAGTTTGAGAATAAGAGCAATTTTCCCGCTATCTTGACCCCTCACATGGTGTATTCCTTTGGCAGCCACCTAAAACAAGAGAGAGGAGATTCTACGGAATAAAATAGAGGCGCTAAAATTCATTTTTTAATCCTACATTTATCATGTATAATAATGAATTTTAAACTAAGAACAATGTGGCTTGATAGTTCAGTGGTAGTAAGTTAACCGAGTCCACAAACGTAACGTTTCTGTTCTAACGTCAATCTCAGGAATTCTTGCTTTGGGACAATCTCAAAATTGTAAGAGGTCTCCGGTTCGAATCCGGGTCAAGCCCTTTTTTTCCTTTTTTTTTTTTGCTCCTTTTTTTTTGCTCCCCATCCTTGAGATCTTGATTTAATTATACTGTTCTCTCTACACTCACCTAGAGAGATCTGACTGCGCTAGCCGTAAGCGAAGGGCTGGCTAACAAAGATTAAAGAATACATTGTGTGCTCTTTTAGTTCTTCTCTTTTCGAGTCCATACTCTTTCACATATAATCAAGTCAAGCAAGTGTGCTTCCCATACAGAGTTCTAGCGAAGTCACAGGCTTAGGTTAGCCGTGATAGCCCTATGACAGCAAGCAGCAATAGAGTTGTAAAAGAAGGGTCATTAGGTAGAGTAAAGGCCTTAGATCTGGATCTACAGGTGTAACTTGTAGTGAGCAAGGCTAAGCAGAAAATAACTATTGCATAAGGTCTCTATGTACGTTTCCAGATTTCTGGTATTTATCCTCAATGCCCTCGCTTTTCAGGTCGACTATTATTCTACGCCCACGGGATCACATAATGCCGTAATCCAGCCATTACCGTTCTCCTGATATATTCTTAAATAATATTATAAGTACTTAGATTTATATGGAAAAATATTTAAAAGAAGGCTTTAGTAAATATAAAATAAAGTAGGCAGTTGAAGTAAAAAGCTATACAAACATACTCATACTATTGACGTTTATTTACAAGAATATCGCATATATCAAAAGCCTAGTCACCTTATATGCTTGTTAAAAACGAAAGCGTGCACTAAAGTGAATTTCATTACCGATACAATAGACGAGACAGTTCTGGATGTAGGAAGGAGCGGCCAGGGATTTAAAACACCTTCCTTGCTCTTCTATGAATATTCATCTCAGTACTCTCATTCTCTTGCACGACTACTTACCTACACCTCTACTTCTTGAACATCCTTCTAGACTAATCAGAATAGACTCTTTCTATCAATTATACGGTGACCTTACTCTCGAAAAACTGGGCCAACACTTAGATGAAATTAAAGCCGCGCGACTTAGAGAACTTTCTTCCTCATTTTTGGCGGTTAGAAGGATAAGACCTTGATTTTTGAGCACCTCTCCCAAGGAGAGAAGTCGGACGTTATTTGACGGGATCGATCATTACCCAACACAGATTTTGAATTTCCACGAAGAATAAATTGATGAAATCAGAGCCCACAGGAAGGCAACAGTCGAAGTCTTCTGGGGTGCATAACAACAATAATGAAACGCTTTAACCGGGACCGCTGACCCGATGTCCGCTCAAGATAAAGAGTCACATCTTGGAAAGGACTTGAGCAGGTTGCCATTTTCTCGGTAGACTTTCAGCATCCGTCGTCTCACTTTTGTACCTACAGATTTTCCTCTTCCCTTGGGGACCGAAACATGCCGCGCTTCAGGACCTGCAGCTCGCCGTCGCAGGGAGGCTTGCAAAGACTGGAATGATGGAGAATTTCTATCAAACTTGAAAATGGTCCAGCAATAAAGATTTTCAACGCTTACAATTCTCCGCCACTCGAACATAGTAAGAGGAGAAGGTAATCCTGGTGGCCTGGGCCTCGTTATATCGAAAGGTAAGGACAGCAAAAAAAGCGGAAGAGACTGATAGAATCAGGAGTACATCTAATCTAAGGGAGATATTGAAAGTCGAGATATGCAGAACATGTACGATAGACGAACTGGCAATCGTGGATGAATCAGGAGATTATATGCATCTTCCAGATACTCTGAAGGAGGGGCTGGCAGGACAGAAACATATTCTTTTTGAGCCAGGCGATCTCAACAGCAGTATACATGGCTGTTTCCTACAAAAGTAATGCGTGCCTCTTAGTTCTCTATCGGAGGAGTAAGCATCTCCTACCGAGATGACATGTGATTTAATGAAAGTGCAATAGAAAAGACTAAATCTCCTTGGACACCCAGGGGGTTATATTGACGACTGGAGCTTCTATGAGTATGGGAAAAGAGTGTCATGGAAATCAAATGCAATGCTTGTAAACAGGCTATTCCCGACAACGAAAACGTCGGCTGGTCAATCATCGACAAAGATTTCTATATCTTGGAGAAATGTAGGCGGCACAAGTGCGATAAGGGGTCTAAAGCCTCAGCGGTTCCTCAGAAGGAACAGACACCATATACTAACAGAAGTTTACTCGAGAATCCCCGGTGGGCACAACAATGCATTAAATGGCAACGGCTCAGAAAAAAAGAAGATACAAAGGGACTGGCAACTCAAGCTACAAGTTGGTGCATAGAATGTACAGAAGACACAGTTAGTTCTTCACCAAAAACACGGAGGGGGCGATATGTTGAGCGACAAAGAGCCTCGATAGTCAATCGTTACTCCCGCAAAATATCTCGAGCAAGACACTTAGTGAGTTAACTGCAAGAAGCCGACAAATAGAATGATTCTAGTCGATCATCAAGTTCCATCTATCACAAAAAAAAGCACTAGTAAACAACTGTAGAAAATTTGCGGAAGTGAATGATGAAGATCTGGCAATAGTGATTTAGAGGATTATACCAACTTCTCGACACAAAAAGCTGCTTAAGAGTCCAGCAAAGGGAACACGTCAACAAATGGAGAACATCGAGTAAGTAACGGGGATGCTTTATTAGAATTTGCCACGACTATGCTAAGACGCAGCAACTATAAGTGGCACTCCAAAGAAATGACTATGAGGAGAAGATTGTAATACATATGTATATTTTATTCGTTTTGGACTTAGTAGTAGCATATTCATAATGAAAAGATTCCCAATAATGTGGTACTGTACATCTTGCATGACGCAAGTTAGTAGCATACTCGCCGAACCAAGCGGTAGCTTGGCTTCAATACACGCCTGGAAATAGTTTCCACTTCACTCTACCTTGAACTTCTTTCCAGCTTTCTCCATACCTCTCACTACAGTACTAAAGCTTATGTTAGTAAGACAATAATAGTTTCCCTCTCAGAACACTCACTTTGTCCAGAACGGGAATGCTATTCGAGATGAAAGCGTAGGTAAAAAATGAGAACACGGCAATTGCAGACGCCAAACCCCCAGCAGCCATTGCATTTGCACCTTGCCATAGTGCATGTCCGCCATAATTGACGTGGCGCGCAACACCGAACAAGCCCCCGGCATATGGCTTTCCTTTATTTTTAGCGTCGGCCTTAAATGTCTTGCGTTGAAGCTCGGACACGGTTTCGATAACAATTCCTAAGACGTACACAGCTACTGCTGCCGCAAGAATAGGATTCTTGGACAGCTCCTGCGTCACCGAAGCGTCTGAGAGCAGAAGTCCAGTTGATGTTGCCAAAGAAGACATCGCCCAAGAAGCAAGAAATGCATTGATACTAGCGAAGACGGTGTTGGCTATGCTTATTTCAACTGCTTGCCCAGTAGGCATTTCGTTTTCAGAGATGCCAATTACCCAGAAGATCTGTTTCAGGCTACCCAGACCCGCAAGACAGACTAGGATGTCGGCGTAGGCAGTTTTGGCAATGGGAACTGTCTGCAGCCCGATTAGAGACAGAAGCTTAGCTGCTCCTCCTTGCTTTGTGAGGTAGTATTGCAAGTATATGTCAGCTGCGTGGAGGCCAACAAAACAGGCTGTACCAAAAGGTGTTGAGCGTTTAACCCGCGAGGGCATCTCGGTTGACTTTGAACCTGCCATTTCAGACTGATAGGAATAGTATGTTAATAGTTGAATGCAGCCAAAAGGCCACGGGCAACTACTACTAATTTGTTGACTATATATACTCGCCACATAGAGCACAAGCTGGTTGTTTGGATCCTAGCGACAACCCCTCTTCTTTGTTTATTGGTAGGATGTCTCAGTTGATGTCAAGTGAACATTGTTAGTCAGCGTGTAATTAGGGATTTTGGATATTTGACGGGCTGGCGCGAGCCTGAAATATTGGGCATAAGCAACTCTCCAGGTTGAATACCCGGCGAGTTCACGTTCACTTGCACACCAATTACCATTCAAGGAGTAGAATGATTTTAGGGTACTGGAATATGCAGGAGTATGCAATTCTGTAACACTCCAAACCGCTTTTTTTTTCGGCATTACCGTGCTCGTCTCCTTTTAGAAGGCTGATATGCCACATTTCGGACGAGCGTGTCAAGCCGACGCCTCCTGTGGCGATAATCGTTTTAGCCTTCATATCATTGCGTTACCCAAAAGATTACTTCATGCTGATACGCAGCCCAGATCTCAATGTAGTCTATGAGCAAAATAAAATGAACATCGAGACTCAACAATTTCATTGTGATTGTAGTTGATAACGATGGAACAGACAAGAACAACTCAACGAAATAGCACTCTTTATTTTCTACATCAGTCGCTTGGATGGGCTTTTAGTACATGTCGGTAAAATTTTAACTGTGGATGTCGTTTCAATACTGCATAATTCTGTCATTAGTTTTATTGGTATCAAATACAACTGAACAATTCGGTTGACTTTCCCATTTTGGTTTCATACAGTACAGTCTTCCAAACCAAAAGTTAATAGAAAGCTAAGAATAACTATAAACAGAGCCAGTTATGACAAGTAAGATAAGTGACTGCTGGCATAGGTTTGGCTTTTGATATGAACTGGGCAGAGGCGTTGCACAATATGGACTATTTTCATTCAGATATTGATATTTAAGACCCACAACTGTTGCTTTAAATCTCCTTTGGAGTGACTGAATCTGAGGTTGGAATTTCCGATTGAACAGGCTATTTATGGCATTTCAGTTCACATTTCAAAATTTCTTTTTCAGTCATGTCAAATTGTGTTGAAAGAATGTCAATAAAACGAATGACTTATAGACGCGAATAAGACAATGTACAGAAAGAAAATCCTCTCATACATATCGTACAGTGAAATCAACCCAATCTCTATCTACTTATGCGCATCCTGACTTGGCAGTGGTGGCCTTGGAGCAGAAGGCACCCTCCTTCTTGCGGCGGCTGCTGAGCTCACCACCCAAGGTGTTGGTAGTGGGGAGGGCTTCGCAAATGCCCTTGAAATTCTTCTTGGCCATGGCGCCGTGCC